AATTTAATTTCATTAATGTTAAATTACATAAATAATATTAAATAATTTAATTATAATTAATAACGTTATTATTAAATAAAATCAATATTATAATTAAATAATTTTATATATTATTAAAATTATTTTCTAAATTTTACGCGAATTGCAGGTCATCTAAATTAAGCTTTTTTGAGTTACTTCGACTATCAATGTGTGTAATGAGTACAATGTTCCTGTATTATTTCAACTATCTTATGCGCGCGTGTGTGCGTCTATTCTTTTTATTAGATTCTAATATTATTTTTTAATATATTATTTATAGATCAATCTATTTCGATTTTGGTTGATAATCAAATCCTTGACGATATACAATCCATAAATATACGTATATATTATACGTAAATATAATATATGCACGAAATATCAAATTTAATTTTTGAAAAGGTTTTAATTAGTTTAGACTTTTGTGAAAATTAAAAAAATATAGTCTATTATTATTTTCCTTTTGTCATTTGTGCACAATCAGAAACGTATTAAAAGACAAATATCGGACAATAGTGACTTTCCTTCCGTTTCATAACAATGTTTCTCCTTTAAATTACCTATTTAAAACGAATGTAACTCACCATTACATTGGCCACATCCATATGCTTTGCCGAGCATGGAGACGGCTGTAGTTATACGAAGGGTACTTAAATCTGGCATTGGAAGCGGTAATTGCTGCTCCATTTGTGCCATTTTGCCTGTGAAAGGAACGATAAATACATTGAGAAATGTAACGGGGAAGTAATAACCAGCAAATCACGTTTATTACGAAGCTGTAAGATAAGACTAAAAAAAAAGAAGAGAAAAGATGAAAAAACAAAACATAGATAAAAAATTTAATTTCTACGACCTTAAAGAAAATGTATAGACTTCTTGTATGTATAGATCTTGTATGTAAAGAGAATGTATAGATTTCTTGTATGAATGTATAGATAGACTTTCTTAGATTAACACATGAGATAATAACATGCATAATGCTTTTTATTTGCAGAGATTTTCTGTATTACGTTAGTGCTCTGAAAATTCGTGCGACGAACCCGCAGTGCTCATTAAAAACAGAGGTCGTGTGCGACCGTTCCGAGCCAACCATCACGTTTAGTCTTCGTAAGTATAATAATAAAAGTATGGAATTGTTCGCGTTACTGTTTACGTTTCAATGCATGTCATTCAATTCATTCACGTTCGTATCATACAATACGGAAAAATATGAAAAAAGAAAGATGCATAAGGTGATTAAATTGCGTTCTGATTCAATAAAGCTTTAAGAAATCGAAGCTCTATTCCGTGCTAACAAATCGACGGAGTTTAAAACTTATTCATCTCAATTATTTCATCTAAACTTTTTTTTTTATACTTTTCTCCCATAATTTCGCGCAGATACAAACAAGTAGGTCACATCTGTCTTATTCATTTTTTCAGAATCGGGTGAAAAAGTAGTATTAAAAACGGCCCTTTTAACAAGCCTAAACATTTTGCAACTTTACAACAAGCATATCACTAGTCTGATTCCGCCCGATCCGGCTGAGCTTGAGGCTAAAAAAGTGCTTGAGGAAGAGAAGAGAAAGAAGAAAAAGAGGCCGCATCATAGAATAAAATTATGGAGCAAGCATAAAGGAGTGTTTCATTTAATCTAATTGCATCGGCAACTTATTGTGGTAATAAATGAAGTATCAAATTGTGTTTACGCAATGTACAAGTTTTTTTCAAAAGTCTCAAACGAAATATCTCTAAATAATATGTCTTTGATACGTGGCTATAATTTCCATCCTATTTTATTCTATTTTATACATCGTAATTAATCTTCTGCAGCGTATAATTTGAATTACATTTAGTACAGCTTTAAATGTTGTAGAAAGAAAACTTATATATATATATATATATATATATATATATAGATAGATAGATATTAATAATAATTATAGTTTATATTCTTGCAGGATTTTTTACTTGCTAAACACCGAAAGGCGTTACATTTATATTAAATAATCTAGAAATTTATTTCGCGCAATCAAAATATTTGCAGTAAACCGATTGTAAAAAAGGAAACTTTACTAATTTAAAATGTACGGGAAGGAAACTAGCGTAACGACGAACAAAATAATAAGAAACAGTAAAAATTACCATTTACGACTTCTCGATTCGGTCTACAATCAAATTCCAGCCTTTACCGATGTGTTTGACGAAGAAACTTGGTATGTTTTCGTCATTTGTTTTGTAGCAGGTACTTTTCTGATAGCATTTATTCTTTCGAAATACATAACTATAATACCTGCTAAATAAAATCATGTATAATGAATTCAGTTTACAAGATGTTTTGTATTCCTTGTCAAATTAGATTTCTTCATTTCTTGATGTCATTGATTTTTTTGATGCGTCACAATCATGTAAACTTTTTAATAAAAAGTATAATATAAATTCAATATAAACATAATAAGAATGAGAAACATTCTGTGCTAATTACTATTGTAACAGATACAATTTCGTAAAAAATATATATGTCATAAATCGTTTGTGCCGATAATAAAATGTTATTTAAAAAATGTCGTCTGGTCGTTTAAGTTGTGCGGATTAGTGCTAGTCTAACAACTTATCTTGTAACAAAACTTGAAGAACTTTAGATGGTTAGCAACTATGATTTTTGGATGGTGAATTTTAGGTCATTTTTTATTTATTTACAATTTAAATAAAGTTATTCTTTTTTATATTATTATTCACATCAGTTTCCTTCAGTACAATTATTTCTGCAGAAATTTAATATTTTTACTCAATCACGAATTTTTAATTCTTACACGAATATTTCTATTCTCATACTAATACCTAATATGTTGGAGAAACATAAATTTTATATTGCTCTGAAACATTCTTGTATAATTAATAGCAGAATGTAGAATTAAAAATAATGCAAAATATCTCTCAAACAAACTACAAAAAATTCGGCAGACCCGTGCGAATCTCGTTTCTCAAGTTTGTCGAGTAATTTTGCTTCTCCTTGCTTCTGTCCTCTCTTCTCCTTTCTTTCTCTCTTGTCTTTCGTGTTTTCTTCCATCTCGTCCATGCATGCGCATTTCGTTCTTTTCATTCTTTGTCTGTCCTGGCTATCGTCCTTGCGGACGTATATTCTTTCTATAGCATGGATATTTTTTTCTTTTTCTCTTTCATCTCTAAATTTTAAACCGGACTTAAAAATAAGAAATTGGCACGTGAAAAATAATCGCCAAAATATAAAGATTTGTTTGCTTATGCGGTTTTACTTAAACAAATTTATTTCGCAATTAACGCCCGGAATTAGAAAGATGAATGTATCGTGGCGTGACATATTTTACGCTTACGATACTCAATAAAATCGTAATGAAATATGATTTTATTACGAATAGAAATTTTAAAATATATCGATTTCCATTTTAACAATCCTATAAAATGTATGTATATATCAGACTCGACATCCATAATACCGAAGTGATTCTTTATCATTCTCAACAAAATTTGATCCATTCCTGACGATTCTTGATTTTATTCTCAACGTCTATTTAACTATTAGCATTAAATAAGTCAATTGTCTTTAATTAGCAATTTGTGAAGGATGCCGAATTCAGAATTGGAAATAGCATAATTTTCAAGTAATCTCTATCTCAAGCAATCCGCATAGTGTCTGAAAGAAATGATAGATACAAAGCAAATCAAGCAATATATCGAAACATAAATTAATAAAGCATCAAAGCATGGAGAAGCTACGCAAACAAGACAATCTGTGCTGTAAATACACAAAGTGACTTTAACTCTTTCAAGGCAATCTTTTAACTGCATAAATGAAACAAAATCCTTAGTAAGAAGGAAAAATTCTTTAACTTTTCAACTTACAATTTTTTCTATAGTTTTTAATTTTGAGAAATACTATTTGAATAAATTTAGCAAGATATTATAAACCGAACCTTCAAATTTAATATAAAACAAGCGGATAGAATTGCTATTGAATTTTCCAGAAACATCAAAAATTTTTCGAGATAAATCATCCATATCTTGAAAGGGTTAATGATGAGGCGATGAAAAAAAAGACGTAGAATTGAAACTGTGACACTCTCGGCGAGTTCAATTTTTATCTGCGTGTACGCGATAAAGGAATTTTGTGATTCGCCAAACAATCGCAGAGATCATTCTCGCGCGTTCCATCTCTTATCGAACTCGGCGAAATTCTGTCGAGATTTCGAATCCTGCGACGAGAGATGATTTTTTGCTTAAGGACTCTACATGCTCACCTTGTTTCTGCGTGTATCCTCGGGGTGATAAGTAAAATTTATGACATGTAAAGATCGCAGAGCGTTTGGTTCTTCACTTCACATCGGCATTCTCGGTAATCGGTTCGCATGCAACGAAGCGACGACAACGAGGACGATGATGACGATGCACTGACGATATACTGTTCTGTCTTGCATGCGTGCACGCGAGACTACGTGGTCGCGGCAGCCGTGCTGCCGCGGCTATCACTCGCGAACACGGGAAATTGCATCCCTCGCTGCCGTTCTGATGTCAATGTCCGCACACGTGACCACGATTCTCTGCAAGAACATTTTTGCACGTCAGGACTCATCACCGAGCATTCATTGAAACGCCGTGCACTCGCGAGATTAGTCGCGAGATCCGGAAAAGCGCGGGCAGGCAGTGGCGATTCTAAATCCATTTTCTTTTTTTTTCTCTCTTTAAACATCTCAATTTAATTGTATTGAAAATCTAATATTTGTTTGAAATAACGAAAAGTTCTATATTTATATAAAGCATTATTTAACCTTTTGTCTGCTTTCTTGAGCGAAATTCCAATTTTAAATTATTTTTGCTTAAATTTCAATTTTTATTGAATAAATATTTTAACATTTTAATTAAAAGACTATTTGATGATATTACAGAGATGTTGAAACTCTGATTTTGTTTTGAAAGTTTAGACCGGTAAAAAAACTTAGGCTGAAAAAAAGTTCATATTGCAGACAGAAGGAATAGAAATGATTGTAAACTGAAAGATTAAATATTTATTTAAAAATAATGCAAAGCTCTATAATATTCTATATTTACATATAGAATATTATTTGAATATTTGTTTAAAAGAACACAAAACTCAATATTTAAGCTTACGTTACAAATGTAAAGAAGAATGAAATAAAGAGGATTTATTTTTAATCCTTAGGAACGCAAGTGAGAATGAGAGAATTCGAATCTAATTTCAGATATAATAACGCTCGTAATATTTCTTTCATAACTTTCATTTGACTTCGTTTGATCATAAATATTATCATAGACATATACGTCGTTACATGTCGATGATAATATTTAATATCACAGAGATAATAACGATTGATAAGATAATTGTTTTTTGTGACAAGATGCAATCCTCCCTTTTTGCAAAAAAATTACACTCTAATAAACAAAAGATTTCACGAAAGATATTCACGAAGAAACACTATATATGTACACAGAGAAAATTATCTCTTAAAATTTACCCTGAAAGTATGGTGGTATAATATAATATATTTTAAAGATTTTTACCATGCATTTCAATAAAATTAATCAAACTTATTTATATTTTATTATAACTTATTTATATAATATTTTATTAATGAATGAGAGAAATTTACAAAATTATATACATAAAATTTTTCGAAATATTAGGTGTAAAAAGAAATCCATTATTTTTGCATGAAATTGAATGGAAAACTAATGGATTTCTTTTTACTACACCTAATACAATGTTATCCCAGAATTGCCATATTTTCAGGGTAAACTCTAAAAAAAAATTCTCTTCATGTATACATACATATATTTTATTATTATATTATACATATATATATATAATAAAATATACTTAGCATAAAATAGTCACCAATTGATAGACAGTATGACATTTCTCGATGCTATTTCCATCGCTGCTGGCGATAACATTATGAATGAAGACAAAAGCCGAGAGCACCGTTCATCCAATAATCCGTGCGTTTGAACAAGTAGAAACGTTTCTCCATTTACTTGCCGACTTGCGCGGATTATTCGATGTACAATTTGGTTCTGTCGTTTAGAATATTCATTTTGTGATCAATTTCACTTCAATAAACTGAAACTTTTTATCGTGATACAGAATGAAAACGAGTTCCAGCTGTCAAGAAAATTGTGGTATACACATTAGACAAGATGTTTCGTAACAGATTGCATCATGTTACTCCAAACATAGTATAATCGATATACACTTAATGTATACGTGCTGCACAAACATAATGCAACACTATGCTATATAACACATATAGTTCAAATGTGAGAATCAACATCAAACGTCGAAATAAGAAAAAAATGTTAAACTACAAAATTCTCATGTGTCTATATAATCAAGTTTAAATACAGCGGATCGAATAGTTCCTCTATTATCTAGCAAATAGACAAATTCTATATAGTTGGATTCTATATGTTGCCCTTGAAACGGATGCGGAAGTTTAATGAGATGAATCGTCGCGACGCAGCAATACTTTCGCGGCCGTTGCTCGTATCGCAAAACTTTATCCACTGCCTGCACACACAGAAAAATATTATTCTATATTGCTGAGAAATGTGATTATGCAACTTATTTTTTTTTCCTTTTAAATAATGGTTACCTTTAACACAGAATATTTTCTTCTTATAATAATCTTAAAATATACTTGTTATAAATTTTATTAAAAAATTCATCATTATGTATTCGAAACAAGAATTTATTTTCTCTTAAAAAATATTATAAAATTGATTCAAAGAAACAACTTTATATAATAAACAAATCAAATTTGTTTTAACTTAATAATCTTCATTGAAATTTAAACTTATTCTAGGATTTAAAATATATTTCGATAATTGATGAACTTATAGATTTGCGGATATATAAACTTTTAAAATACTTGAAATAAATAATTATTTGCATACACTATATATCTTTCTGTGTGAATAAAAAAACAAATGAGATTGTCATCGTCGTTGTTGCTTCTCATAAATCGCAGCTGGTGACAGAATGACAAATTGGCAATCTGAAGATAAATGATAGATAGTGAAAATAATTTCTTAATTCTTATTTGATTGTTGCAGGATCTTCACAAGATTATTTTTGATGAATTGGTCATTCATTATAATGGATTAATACATTATTAAAGACTACTTTTTATATAAAATATCGTATTTGAATGAAGTTGCATGTAGTCAGCTTTGACAATGCAATAATATCTACACATACATTCTGTTAATTAACGTCATCAACATTATTATTGGATATTTAATCATTAAAA